GTTGGTGTAGTCTCAGAGTGTTGACTAAAGTGTGCTTGGCAGGGGGTTCCAACTGGTGGAGGGGCCCAACAGTGGAGCTATATCTCTAATAAGAGGATATGTGAAACCTGTGAGTCATGATATAGTCAATCCACTTAACCAACCTTCTTGCTAGAGTAACAGATTAAATTACAAACTATCCCACACACCAACAATGTGAAGAATTTAGAGCTGGCAACAGTTACGATTTTAAACTATATAGGAGATTTCAAAAAGGAATAATTACACACTCAGTTGACTATAAGCAGAGATTATGCATCTTTACATGGAAGGGTGTATTCTGCACCACCAGGAACTGGGCTCAGAAAATAGGAATGAGATGAGGGGACACGGACATACATACACCAGCAGGTTTCTAGCTCCTTCCGTACTGGAAAATTTGCAGGAAGGGGATGTAAATCCGAACATTTCTTTGATTTGCTAACAATCTAGGAAACTGTTGGGAGCATGACCATGATTAAAGTTTTAGCAAAGATCTGTAGCTTGGGTTGTGGGTGAGGTTGTTGACTTGCTCGCCGAGCTGGCTTCGTTTCGTTCAGATGTTTCGTCACCATACTAGGTGACATCATCAGAGAGGCCTCTGATGAAGCGATGTTGTTCTACTAGGCTTGGAATTTATACTGTTTGGTCAGTTGTGGTGAGTAGTGTCATTTCTAGTTCTGTTCTGTATTGGTTTATACATGGGGTCCAATTCTATATGTTTGTTGATAGCATTACAGGTTGAGGACCACACCTCCAGGAATTCTCGTGCGTATCCATGTTTGGCTATGTATCGGATACATTATCCCAGTCATTGTCTGAGTTACTGATATGAAGGAAAGTTTGTCGTGCCGTTTTGCTGCTACCTGATGTTCATGTATTCTGATGGCTAGTTTCCTTCCTGTCTGTCTGATGTAATGTTTGAGGCAGTCGTTGCATGGTATTTTGTAAACCACGTTCGTTATGCATGCTTTGGGAATGAGGTCTTTAATCCTTGTAAGTGTTTGTCGTAGAGTAGCTGTGGGCTTGTGGGCCACCATGATTCCTGGTGGTCTTAGGAGTCTTGTTGTCAGTTCTGATATGTTCTTGATGTAGGGCAGTGTGGCCAGTGTGTTAGGGCATACTGTGTCCTCCTGTTGTTGTCTGTTTAGTAGGCACCAGCAGATGAAGTTGCAGGGATTTCCGTTCATAGCAAAGATTTTGTATAGGTGGTCTTCCTCTTTCCTGCATAGTTCTGGAGTGGTGCAATGTGCTGTGGCCCATTTAAATAGTGTCCTGATGCAGATTTGTTTGTGGACGTTGGGGTGGTTGCTGTGGAAGTTGAGGATTTGATCTGTATGGGTTGCTTTTCTGTATACTGAGGTTTGGAACCCCCCTTGGTCATATGCTCAACTCTGACATCCTGAAACAGAAGTTGATTGTTGTTTTCTTCTTGTCTTGTGAATTTAATGCCGCAAATACGTTGTTGATGAGGTGGAGGGTCTCTTCTAATTTGTTGCGTTTAATAATGACAAATGTGTCGTCTATGTACTTTTCCACAGTTCAGGTTGAATGTGGGGGAGGGTGGTGTGTTCTAGTCTTTGCATGACGGCTTCTGCAATGAGTCTGAGATGGGTGACCCCATTGGTGTACCATTGATCTGTTTGTATACTTGACCATTAAAGATGAAGTATGTGGTGAGGCACAGGTCTAGTAGTTTAAGTCTGTTGTCATTGCTAATGGAGCTGCTGGTCTGCATTGCTGCTTCCTCTAGTATTGTGGCCATTGTTTCTTTGACGATTGATGTGAATAAAGCTGTGACGTCAAAGGATACCATAATCTCGTCATCGCTAATTTTTATGTTCTTGACGGTATTGAGGAATTCTTGGGTTGGGTGGATGGAATGGGATGATCCGTCGACTAAGTGTTTCAATCTCTGTTGTAGGTCCTTGGCCAGTTTGTGTAAAGGTGTGCCTGGTAGGGAAACAATGGGTCTGGGGGGGATGTCTGGTTTGTGTATTTTAGGAAGTCCATAGAAGCGGGGAGGTGTTCATGCCTTCTGGTTTCATACTCAAGTAGTCTGTGTTGGTTATCTGCCCTGCATCCTTTAGTCTCTTCAGTGTCAGGGTGATCCTATTATCTAGTTGCAGTGTTGGGTCTACCGCCACCCATTGGTAAGTGTTTGTATCTGCGAGCAATGCCTGTGCTTTCTCAATGTAAGATAACAAGGTGTAGAGCTGGATGAACACAGCAGGCCAAGCAGCATGAGAGGAGCAGGAAGGCTGACGTTTTGGGCCTAGACCCTTCCTCAGAAAATGAAACGTCAGCCTTCTTGCTCCTCTGCTGCTTGGCCTGCTGTGTTCATCCAGCCCTACACCTTGTTATCTCAGATTCTCCAGCATCTGCAGTTTCTACTATCTCTGAAACTTTCTCAATGTAGTGTGTTTGTTCATAATGACGGTCATGCGCCCTTTGTCTGCTGGTAGGGTTATGATGTTCTCGTCTTTCTTGAATTTATCTGGTGCTTTTCTGTCTGATGTGTTCAGGTTGTCCCCTTTGTTCCTTCTGTGTAGTGTGGGCATTATAGTCTGTCAGGTGGCTTGTTGTGTTTCATCTGTGAGTGTGTCGTCTTTCAATGTAGTTTCCAGGGCAGCCATGAAGTCTGTTCTGTTCGCATCTTTGTGTTTGTAGTTTGGTCTGCGTAATAGGACAGCTTTCTCAGTTTCTGTGAGTTGTCTATTGGACAGGTTTCTTATCCATGTGGCTGTTTGTTGTTGTCTTTGTGGTGGATCAGTTTAGTGAGTTTCTCCTGTAGCTTGTGTCTCTTCTTAGTTTTGGTTTTGTGTTGATTGATGGTGATGGCCTGTTCTAGGATTGTAGTCCATTGCTGGTTACTGTGATTTTTGGCACAAAATTTCCCATTCGTACCTGTGGAGTCGGTTATGGGCATCATTAATCATTGCTCATAGCATTCTGCATCCGTTCTATTCAGCTATTTTATAGCCTGTGGGACGTTGAGTGGAGGTTTGTACTTCATGTTGCGGGGCAGTACCTGAGGTTCCTGAGGCATTTGTGGAGAAAATGAAGTTGTTCGCGGGTAGAGCTCAGTCGGTTGGCAAAGGTTACCCAAAGACAGGCAATTTTTAGCGTGTTGCACCCGTAGGTTTAAAGTTTTAGCAAAGATTTGTAGCTCGGGTTGGGGGTGAGGTTGGTGACTTGCTCGCCGAGCTGGCTTGTTCTCGTTCGGACGTTTCGTCACTTTGCTAGGTGACATGATCAGCAAGGCCTCCAATGAAGCGACGTTATTCTACTCCGCTTGGAATTTATACTGTCTGGTGCATTGTGGTGAGTAGTGTCATTTCCATTTTTGACCTGTATGGGTTTGTATGTGGGGTCCAATTCTATATGTTTATTGATTACATTATGGCTGGAGAACCATGCTTCTAGGAATTCCCATGCGTATCTATGTTTGGCTTGGGCTACTATGGTTACACTGTCCCAGTTAAACTGATGGCCTTCACTGTCTGAGTGTACTAATATTAAGGAAAGTTCATCGTGCCGTTTTGCTGCTAGCTGATGTTCATGTATTCCGATGGCTAGTTTCCTTCCTGTCTGTCCGATGTAATGTTTGTGGCAGTCATTGCGTGGTATTTTGTAAACAACATTGGTTCTGCATGTTGTGGGAATGGGGTCTTTAATCCTTGTAAGTGTTTGCCGTAGAGTGGCTGTGGGCCACCATGATTCCTAGTGGCCTTAGGAGTCTTGTTGTCAGTTCTGATATATTCTTGATGTAGGGCAGTGTGACCAGTGTGTTAGGGCGTACTGTGTCCTCCTGTTGTTCATTTAGTAGACACCTGTGGATGAAGTTGCAAGGATACCATAGCATGGTGATGAAACATCTGAACGAAAACAAGCCGGCTCAGCGAGCACGTCAACAACCACATGACCATGATATCCTAAGCACAATAGGTGAGGGGCTGTGCCAGACCACACATTCAGGAATACCCATATATGCTTTGCAAATTGTAATTTAAACACAACAGCGCTGGTGAAACAACAATTGCAAGGGTCGTAATTTAGATTCTAATTCTAAGTTTATCTCCCTTTCTATTTTTTATTAAAAACTTTTGATTTCTATATTTATGAAATGGTTACAAATATTTTGAAAAGTTTGACAGCTAAGAGCTTTTTTAAAAAGCTCATTCATATTTTTTCAGGTGACACTGGTTCGGCCAGCATTTATTGCCTGTCTTTAAACTTCCTTCAAAAGGTGGCTACAATGCATCAAGATCACCTCAAAGGTGGTGAAACGATGTCTCTGTGGTTAGAACTGCTGCCTCACAGCATCACAGACCTGAGTTCGATTCCACCCTCGGGCAACTGTCTGTGTGCGGTTTCCACGTTCTCTCCATGTCTGCGTTTGTTTCCTCCCACAGTCCAAAGATGTGCAGGTTAGGTGGATTGCCCATAGTGTCCAGGGATATGCTAGGTGGATTAGCCATGGGATAAAGGGGATAGGGAGGGTCTGGGTGGGTGACAATCACATTGAGCTCAGCAGTATTTGGTCTAATTTTGTGGTCCCATTCTGTCTTTCACATCTGAAGGTTTCTAAGGAATCAAAGGATATAACCCTGACTCAAAACAGCATGCTCTTTTAAGCACGGTATCCTGCTGGGAGCACAGCATAAACTAACTGTAACAAAATTCGCATACGATTTCCTTAAAGTTGGAAATAATGATATTAGTGAATGGAAGTCAAGAGCCATCATGCGTCATTTGACTGCTATTTTAATAAACAGATTTCCCAAACTAATTTCTAAGTTTTTGAGGATGCCTTTTGCCTTTTGGTTGATTTGGTCTCCCCTAATATGCCAGCTGGGGCTGGAGGAGGCTGGAGAGGAATGAAGGGAAGAGCCGGAGCAGCTGGGTGATGAGAGAGGGACGCAGCACAGAAGGCCATGCTCACAGCGTTTTCAGGGCATACTCCTCTTCAATTTCACCAAAGAGTATTTTGCTTAGTTTGAGTTAGCACAGAGGTCAGACACTTGGTTAATATTCACAGGAACTGAAGAATTTATTTCATGTTGTGTTGAAAGAAAAGCTATTGAACATGAGAACGAATATTTGGATTTCACTGTTCTTTGTGTAGAAAACGCAACAGAAAAAAAATTGCTGCCTTTTGCCATAAAGCAATTACCTTAATTCTGGTGCTTAAATGGACATATCTATTCATCAGTGTGAAGCTACCTCTCATTCATTGATCAGATCCAAACAAATGGACAAAAAGGAAAACTTCCTTTCAGTTTGGAAAGGACCTCAATATTCAATATGATCAACCAACAACTTAAACACTGCAATTTTATCACTGCAAAAATAAGGTATATTTTAGGAATAAACACTTTTTAAAAATATTAATATACTGTAACACATGACTAAATAAACTATCCAAGAAAACTTCTTCATTGTTAAATTAGTTTTAAGATGTTGGAAGTATTCAATGAAATTGCTCCCAAAACTACAAATATGATGAAATACCTGTAACCAGGGCAGACGCGTACAAGATAAGCCATGTTGGATATCTTATCCTGTTCAGTGATGCTCTAAATTTATTTAGTTAAAACTGCAAGCAGGATTTCAGGAAGAAAAAAGCAGAACTAGAATGATTTTTTAAAAGATCAATCTATGTAATTGAAAAAAAATTAAAACCAATTCATTTGCATTTGGTAAACATTGTTGCTTGAAACAAAAAATAATTTTCAGAGCAATGCTATGGCAATATGAAATGTTTTCTGTAAAGTCCTCAAAAAGTTTTCTGTTCCTGAAATTTGCCTACCAAAATATTAAAGGTGAAAAGCAATAATAATCATCTTGTCAATCAGCCACACCCCAAAAGTAGCTCTTAAAATTAAAGCAAGTTAAAAGGTTAAAATTCTAAAGTGCCATGTTCATATATTTTCCTTGTTTGGTGCAAAGTGAGCCTTCCCTTTTAACTGTTTCAATGGGGAGATTAATACACCACACGCCCTCAAATTACTCATATAATCTATAAATGACTGGGTGAAGTTCCAGTGAAGATGAATTATATAATTGTTTGTAGACCTACTCTTAGGATTTTCTTCAGGTCTATATTTTGCGTTTTCAGGGGCAATTTTTGATTTTCAATTACTCCGTTTTCAAAGCCACTAACTCCTTGGTTAGATGATGCAGTCACATAGTAGATGCAGTCACCCTCTATACTTGTATTGTTGGATTCACACAGAAGTAGAATTAGAAAAAATCATCAATGTCTTCAATTACCTATTAATCTTAGCCACAACATTCAAGGAAAGCATTAATTTCCCAGACAGCACAGTACTTAAGCTGTCACAAGACAACAGACATACATTCATAACAAAATGAATTATTTTAAAGAAAACTGACACATGCTTCTACTAAACTTCACCCTAAACACACTTTCTGCAGATCAGTGAAGTCACAGCTAAATAGTAGCATGTTTATCTCTAAGAGAGTAGCTGCACTTGATTCAATTTGAGATAAGATAAATACCTCAAATAAATAAATACAAATCTTTAAGAAATATAACTTTAATATTAAATTTTCAATTGACATAGTATTCATTATAAAAGCATCCACCGCATTTTCCCCCATTGCAGCTCCTGAACTTCTACAGCCTTAAGCTAGAGATTCCATATTCTTCTGCAAGGAATTAATTACCTCAGTGCTTTCAGGTTTTTCTTGGCTCCCAGTTAGTGGAGTATTAGTCTGTTGAAAAGTTTAAAACTGCTCTCTTCTATGTGCAGACCCTCTGTGCCCTTTTTAGCCTCTTACTCTAACTTTTCACCCTTCACATCCTCCCTCTCCAGCCCCTCACATACACCCCCAACCCCACAGTCCCTCTCCACCCTTTGTCGCCTCATTGGCCCTAAATGTCCCACAGCCCACCAGTATCACTCATCCCCAGCCCAGCAGCCTTGCTGCCTGGTCCCAGCTTCACTTCCCACTATCCCCTACCCATGACCTCCAATCTCGTTTCTTGCTCCATGTTCACCCTTGGTCGCTGGCCTCACTTCCTTTGACCTCAGCAGGCTCGCTCACTTCTGCCACTCACCTTCTACATGCCACTCCAATCATTGCTTTTCTCCCATGTTGGTTACTTATAGGCTCTTGGTGCAACCCTAGTGTATTTTGAGTACCAGCATGAGAAATGGCAATACATTTAAGTATTTATGGTTTGTAAAAACAATTTTAGGTACTTATTGCTTACTTTTGAATTATTTTATTGCTTTTCTAATTCATCTAGATAAGCCTGTAACATTCATGGAATTGTTTAATGCAATGGGTTAGACAGTGATCTTCCAGATAATTTCTAATCAAACTGTTCTGAGATATTATTACACACCTCTGGAGCAAGTAGGGACTTGAACCTAGGTCTCCTGGTTCAAAGGTAGAGACTTTACCATTGTGCCACAACAGTCCCAATGACCTTTCAGCTGTCTGACCAGAATTCGAAACCAGTCCAAAGTAATCTCAAATACATTTGGAAAGACTTTAAGTTACAAGGGGTTGGGCATAAGCACACAAACTGCCCCTAACTGGACCTGTCATTAAGAAGGGCCCAAATATGATTAGTGTGAGAAATTTAAATAAAGGTAAATTGACTGGGTGGTTTGCCATGATTGTAGATTGTTAATTGGTTGTTTTGAATAAGTGTTAGTGAATGGAGTTAGTTTGTGAAAACGTATTTAGCAAATAAGTATTGAAGTCAATTTGTGAAATTTGTTTAACAGACAGTGGTTATTTCAATTTTTTTTGCCTTTCTGATGTACTTAAGCTCTGATAATCACTTTCGATAAATACAGCTTATAAACAAGATTGATTGAAGGAGATAAAAGAAGATGGATGAATCGAAATAGATCAATAGATTAAAAAGAATGCAGGATAGACTAGCCAAATTCACACCATCAAGATCCTGTTGCCTATTTATCTAAAATTAGTGTAACTTCATTACTTAATTTCATTAGCTAATTGCAAAGTAAGGGACAAGTATGATAACATATGACCTAGTAGAGGGGCAGTCAATGGCCTAGTGGTATTATTGCTGGACTATTAATCCAGAAACCCAGATAATGTTCTGGGGACCAGGGTTGAAATCCTGCCATGGCAGATGGTGGAATTTGAATTCAATAAACATCTAGAATTAACAATCTAATGATGAATACTCATGAATCCATTGCTGATTATCAGGAAAAACCCATCTGGTTCTCTAATGCCCTTTAGGGAAGGAAACTGCCATCCTTACCCGGTCAGGCCTACATGTGACTCCAGCCCCACAGCAATGTGGTTGACTCTTAACTGCCCTCTGGGCAATTAGGGATGGGCAATAAATGCTGCCTAGTCAGCAATGCCCTCATCCCACGAATGAATAAAGAAATAAAAAGTAGTGCGATTTTGTAAAATTAATTCTTTAAAATCACTAATAAGCTGCTGTTTCCTCAGCTGTAAATCCTGAACAAACATAAAGATGTCCTTTATTCAGTATTGTAGTCAGATCAGAACAAAAATATGCTTCATGTTGGAATAGCTTAATTCTCATAAGCACCACACTGGTGATACAAAACACAATAGCAAGACTTTTTCCTCATTACAAGTAAAAGGAAAAAGCTGATGATATGTCACTTTATCCTTTATTGATATTTTTAATAATATTACAAATCAATATTTACAAGTCAATAAGTAACTTATGATAGAGGGAAGTTCATTGATGAAGCAACTCAAGATAGTTGGGCCTAGATCTCTACCCTGAAGTGATGTCCTGGAGTTGAGATGACTGACCTCCAAAAATTTCAATGATCTTCCTTTGTTCTGATATGACTGCAAACAGAAGAGAGCATTCTTCTGTTTCCCATTCACGAGTTTTGCTACCCTTTCTACTAGCTACCCTCTTGCTCCTAAGATGTGTATAAAGTGCTTTGGGATTCTTCTTAATCCTGCTTGCCAAGTACATTTCATGGCCCCTTTTAGTCTTCCTAATTCCTTGTTTACGTTTTTTTCCTGCTTCCTTTGTATTCCTCAAGGGCTTGTCTGATTTCGTTTTCCTGAATCTTACATATGCTTCCTATTTCTTAGTAACTAAACTTTTAATATCTCTTGTCATCCAGCATTCCCGAATCTTGCCATCCTTGTCTTTCACGGTCATAGGATCATGCTGGTCCTGAAAAGTCTCCCACATATCAGATGTAGATTTATCGTCAAACAGCCACCCCCAACCTGTGGAGTATCATGTGGAGTGAATCAAATTGCCTAAAGACTGGCATCTGTGACGTTGGGATCCAGAGTCAATGTCGATGTCTTGCAGGGGAATTCTCTCCCATCTGTATAGCACTGTGTTATGTGCCCACAATGGGACAGGACATACCCAGGGATGTGATGGTGGAGTCTGTGGCATTGCAAGGTATAATTCAGTGAGTATGACTATGTCAGGTTTCTGCTTGACTAGTCTGTGAGATGGCTCCCAATTTTGACAGCAATCTCCCAGGAGCACTTTTCATGGTCGACAGGACTGAGTTTGCCATTGTTGTTTCTGGTGCCTTAATCACTGCCAAGTGGCCCATCCAGTTCCATTCCTTTTCTGACACTTCTTAGCAGCTTGATACAACTGAGTAGCTTGCTAGGCCTTTTCAGAGGACAGTTGAAAGTCAGCCATATTGCTGTGCGTCTGAAGTCACCTGTAGGCCTGCCCAGGTAGGGATAGTAGTTTTCATTTCCTAAAAGACATTAATAAACCAGCTGGGTTTTTTCAACAGTTGCTAGTGTTAGATGATCATCATTAAACTTTTAATTCCAAGATTTCTTGTGAATTTAAATTTCACCATCTGCTGTCGTGAGATTCAAACCTGGGTTCCTCAGAGCATTACCTGGGTCTGTAGATTTTAATCCACTGAAAATACTATGGGACCATCTTCTCCCTCTGGATTGGGTGGTGTGGCCTGCTCTGCTCCAGCAGCCTGTCCACCAGCATCTCTAGGTCTCCATCAACAAAAGGAGGAACTAACTTGTCTCTCTGGGCCATGTGTTCTATATTGACATTGGAGAGGCACATTTTGAGAGGCAGTTTCTACCTTGCAGCATCTGAACTGGCACGTGGCTGGGCTTTAAACGTATAGTTCCAGTGGTGTGAATTCTGCAAGGTCCCAGCAACAGTGAGCACTTCTGTCTCTGCTGCCATGTGGTTCCACAAAGATGCATAACTAATAAGGCAAGGGCCGTAAATTTACATGAAAGGGGTAGCTCTAGGCTATAGCAGACTGGCCGCTATGAACCTCATTCAACAACACACAAATTCAAAATGGAAAAATTCAGCCCACTGATGTGAAAAATCATTCCCAGATTGTTCGGGACATTTGGCAGCATATTTCTCTCCCCGTGTTCTGCGCAGTCTCCTGGAGCTGTGTTTCAATCTGGTGAGCTGAGATAAAGATCAATGTATTTGCTATTTGTTATGTGGAGAAATTGGGCCGACAATTAATCTAAGAGTTCTCCTTTCCCTTCTTATTCAGTTGACTGATGCTTGTCCATGCCACCTTTTTACAGAGTTTAGCACTACAACTGATCAAACTGCTGCTGCTAGACCTCACCGTCCTGGGTCTGAGTTCCAGTAACATCACTCACACAAAGTGTGGGCAGCTATGCAAGTTGAACTTTTCATATAAACAAGTTAAACATCAGCTTCGATGTGTGTCATCTGTAATAATTGATCTGATTTTCTCTTGTGATATCCTACAGAGCTGGAATTGACTTCCTTCTTTTTACCAAGTGACAGGAGCCATAAACATGGTTGTGTTTATTTGTTGGATGGGATACATGTGGAATATTTAGAACTCTGGTAGTGCTTTTAAAAGCAAAATGGTGGAGGACCCCTGCTGCAAACAACAGATGAAGAATCCACCCTGACATTCCATCAGAACCTACTTATCTACTCTGCTCCATTATTCTCAGCACTCAGTAGCATAACATCATTCTTATGGAAATATTTGAAATAATTATATTACTATATGGGTAGGATTTAGAATCCGTACAGTGTGGAAGTAGGCCATTCAGCCCATTGAGTCCACACCACCTCTCTAAAGAGTATCCAACCTAGATCCACCCCCATACCCTATCCCTGTAACCCTGCATTTTCCATGCTAATCCACCCAGCCTGCACATCCTTGGACTGTGGGAGAAAACTGGAGCACCTGGGGAAATGCACACTGAGGTGGTGAGAATGTGCAAACTTCACACAGACAGTCACCCAAGGGTGGAACTGACCCCAGGTCTCTGGTGTTGTAAGGCAGCAGTACTAACCACTGAGCCATCGTGCTCCTCATACTCCTACTAAATTACTGTAATTATATACTATTATGCCTAAAGGTTAACAAGTTAGAGACAATTTTTACATTATAACCTTAAATTGGTTTTGAACTTTTTTAAAAAGCGTACATTTAGTTGGTGTTGGGTCTCCAAAACGCACACAGACAGCATTGCTACAAGAGATTTGACAGACATTTCTTGTTTTGTTTCATGTATTCCTGCTCAGTTTCACACTTAATTCCTATCATATACAATCACAGAATAGTACAGTGCAGAAGAAGGCATTTGGCCCATCCAGTCTATGACTGCATTTTTGAAAGATCAATCTATATAGGCCCACTGCCATCCTCTTTTTCCAAATCCCTAAATTATTTTCCTTCAAGGATTTACTCAATTTCCCTTTGAAGGAAATCTATCAGACTGTGAATTAAAATCCTGACCAGTATTGTGTGTATAATTGTTTCACGTGTCAATGTTTTTGCAAATCATGTTAAATCTGTATCCTCCCCTGTACACATCAGTCATTGAAAAACATAATCTAACTTTACTTTCTCTGAAGCATTCATGTTTGTAAACTCTTCAATGAAATTTTCTCTTCACCTTCTTTGACCTGAGGACAACAATTTGAGTTGATCTGTTTAACTGTAATCCATCAGCCCTGGAATAATCCCAAAAATTCTCTTGGGTACTACATCTGACACCTTAATTTCCTCTGGTATCAGAATGGGATATGTTACTCCAGCTGGGGTCAAAATAGTGTTAAATGTAGGTTTTCACATCATCCTGCTTTTCGTACTCTGTGCCTCTATATATTTAGTACAGGATTCCATACAATTTATTAACTATTTTGTAAACCTGTCGAGCCACCTTCAAATATTTGCATACACACCACAGACATACCAGACTATTCATCATTCTTCCTCAAAAATGTGTCACCCCATCCTTTTCTGCATCGAATTTCATCTGCTATGCATCAATTCAAACCACCAGCCTACTTATATCTTCTTGAAGCTTACAGATATCTTCTTCATTGTTTGCTGTATCATTCCCATTATTTCTTCACTGATCTATTTTTTAGTTGGCTCAAAATTAACTGATAAATCCAAAACAAAAAGATAAGAAAAATTAGAACTGCAGCTAAAGAAGTGCCAATTAAGAACTGTTAAGGACTTATGAAGACTACCAATGCTGAATGAACAGTCAGGAGAACCTACCCCTAATTTAAAATGAGAAGGACAACTTCAGCTCAAAAAATTGTCCAATCTTTTTTCTCAGTAATTGAAGTTTCTATTCTCCAACATAAGGTTTAAAAGAATAAAACTATCAGAAAAGGAGGAATGGGCACTGGCAAGAAATATGTAATGTAAACTTGTCCATCAACTAACCTGAGAAGTTGATGGACAAATTTTTGGAAGTTGGTCAGGTGGCCCCAAAATTATTTATTTTGGATGACTTGGAGATTGCTGTAATAAACCTACTATGAATATTTTAATAAATGTTACCAGAGTATTTTGGCCAGCCATAATTTTTGCCATATATTTCTATAAATTGATTGACACATTGGAAGGGACTTACATGTACTAATTAACCCTTTCAAATAGAACATTTGGAGTTTGAACTGAAGAATTGTTTTTTAGTAACATTTACAATATAAAAAGGGTCATCATCCCATTTTTCTGCAGCCATTCAAGAGTTAGACTATCAAGAATGAGGTAACCATACAGTTGGCTTATCAGTAAGGCAGTTAGGCAAACCAGTTGACGCCCAGACCAGCCAAAGAAAACAACAGAGCAAGTGATCAAAAGATCTGAAATACATTGTAACATATATCACCACTGCAATTCATCTGAGCATGTTGTGAAACTTAGATTGTTGTACAGCTGTACGGAGGAAAGTGTACTTGCTAGTTAGCTGAGCCAAGACAGTCAAGTGAAGGAATAGCACAGAGACTCCCCACAGGCATTCCCGAAGAGAAATAGAGCATCCAGATTCAGTGAACCATCATAATATCAGTCCACTGAAGGACCAGGTGATAAATGGAAGCAATTTCAGCTTTTGGTAGTCAAATCAAACAGGTTATACTATACACAGGTTATATTATATAAATCGATCATCCACTATACATTCCACCATTGAAAGTCAAAGTTATTCTAATTGAATAATGATTGGTCAGATAGCAACCTTGGATGAAATATTCTCAACTAGTTAAAAAAAAGCAAGATGTTGACAGCCCAATAATTTTATAGAATATTATGTTTAAGAGTCTCTACTTAAATTTCAAATTGTTATGACTGCTGTACAATTAATTAAAAATATACATCTGATCATAACTTACAGCTAATGGAATATTTGCTCTTAAGTAAATGATGACGGAAATACATTTTTGCTTTCCTATCTTGCATCATCCAGTTCACCATTAGCCTTGACAAAACCGAGCTACAAACGATCCAGCAAATCCTTGACTTTAAAATTATCTTTGTTTTCAAATATCTCCATAGCCTCGCCCATCTCTGTAACTTCTTTCAGCTTTGTGACACATCATGAATTTTGTATTCTGCCATTTCTGGTCTCTTGCCTATATCATGTGCACTTCACTTCATTGGTGGTCATGCTTCAGTTTTCCTGTCTGCTAGCTCTGGCATTCACTCCTTATAGCTTTCTACTTCCAAGCTTTCCTTCCACCTTTAAGATACTCATTAAAATCTACTTTTTCTTCCCGTCCTACTATCTACTTATTTGACTTGGTCTTATATTTTAGAAACACAAAATTATGAATAGGTCATTTCACCCATTAACAGTGATCCACCGCCATCCAATGAGATGAATTAATATCAATGGCCCCTCTCCATTGTCCTTCCATAGACCCACGTCCCTTGCATCCCAATTCCCTTTGATCTAGTGAGTGTCCCGAAATACACCCATTGCAGCATAGGTATTCATCATCATAACAGAAATGATGACCCCACATTCTCCAGCAGGGTTAGAAATGGAGGTTACTAGTGACCTGTCTGTATGCCCCTCCTTAGAAAAATGGGATAAGAATTTTAGTTATTTATGTAGTGTATTGCCTGTACCACATAATAATACTTTTTATGTTATAAAACTGAATTTTATCATAATTATGTTTTACATTGGCATAATGGTCTCAATTATACAATGAATTTTACAAAGTATAATGGTCTCAATTATACAATGAATTTTACAAAGTATAATGGTCTTTATTAAATATTAATAGTTTCATATTCTCTATTAGAATAAAGCAAGATATAAGATGCTCCATCAGACAACATTATAGTGTTACAAGGTATAACGTGTCTAAGTGTTATAATGGCACATTATATATTGTATTAAAGTATTCTGGAATTGGGGATCATCAATCATAAATGGTAAGTTTTAATCAAATTGAAAATTCCAGATTTTTCCTAGCTATTAAACTAGCAAAATCTACATTTTTTTTCTCTGAATTTGAGGGAACTATCATCTCGCAAGAAAATGCTATTCTTCCTACTAAATGTTTGGTGTGAAGGTAGACACACATTAAATCTGTGAAGCTAAGAAGTATGCTTTGTGCTTGCTGCATTAGTGTGTCCAGGGATATGCAGGCTAGGTGGGTTAGCCATGGGCAATGCACGGTTATAGGGATAGGATGAGGGGTGGTCTGGGTGGGATGCTCTTTGGAGGATTGGTGTGGACTTGATGGGCCAAATGGCCTCCTTCAGCACCGTGGAGATTCTATGATTCTATTATCACGCATATGCTGTACGTGCGTCTCTGGATTTAAGTTTTGACTGAAAATTAAACTAACTTGTGCAATTTGAGATAACAAGGTGTAGAGCTGGATGAACACAGCAGGCCAAGCAGCATCAGAGGAGCACA